CCACATCCCCCCAACCCTCCCCACAGCGAAGGTGGCGTCAGACAGCTCTGGCTGCGGCTGAGGAAGGAGCCACACTTGCGGTCGGGCTTGGAAGACTTCCTGTCCAGAATCCTCTCGCAGCTCCAGGAGGCTCAGGAGGAGAAGAGCGAGCTGGAGGGCGCACTGCAAAGGTGACGCCTGCCGGGGGCGCAGAGCGCAGATATACGCCAGAGGCCACGCCAGGACGGGAGCCCTGGCTCGCGCTCATTGAGCACTTACTAGGTACCGGGTGCTGTGCTAAGTACTCTTTGCATGTGAGCCTTGGCTTGCGTTTATTGAGCACTTACTGTATACCAGGTGCTGTGCTAAGTACTCTTTGCACATGTGCCCCTGCTCACATTTATTGAACACTGCCTGCATACGCAAGGCTATTTCAAGTTCTTTGTATGCACAGCCAGGTGCTATTATTCACATTCACTGAGCACTTACTGTCTACCGGGTGCTAGTCTCAGTACTTCACGTACGGGATGGTAGAGATGAGAAAGCAGAGGTACAGAAAGCCACGTGTCCCGGGACACACAGCTGTGAAGTGGGTCACTGGGAGATGACCGGGCGCCGGCCTCCCGGTGGCCAGCGTTTGGTCACGCTCCACGCCGGCTCACGGTGGAAAACCAGGACTAAGTTCCAGCCCTACACTGCCCAGCCCTGGGTGAGTGACAGCCAAGGACTCTGGGTCTCCCGCTTCCCAGTGCCCCTGGCATCTGGGGCCGGAGCCACGCGGTAGAGCACCAGCCTGAGTGAAACAGTTTAACAAGGGAATGAGCTCAAAGTCCAGTATCAGTGCACGCATGCGTGTGCGTGAGCACACACACACACACACACACACACACACAGACTTTGAAGCCAGCCTGAGCAGAAGAGTTGATGAGACTCTTCTCTCCAATGAACCACCAAAAACCCCCAACCCAGCAATGGCGCTGTGGCTCAAGCAGTAGAGCACCAGCCTTGAGCAAATAAAAGCTCAGGGACAGTGCCGAGGCCCTGAGTTCAAGTCCCAAGACTGGCCAAAAAATAAAAGTTAAGTGGAATAGATCCATCTGAGCCTCTGGGGCCCGGGGCCCGTGGCCTGCGCGGCACCCCAGCCCCGCAGCTTGGAGGGGGGGTGAAGGGGTTGGGGGTCTGAGCTTTGGGGTGGCTGCTGGGGGTCAGGTGTCCCCGTGAGCACCTTCTCCCCCACTGTAGGAAGATTGCCGCTTACGACGATGAGATTCAGCACCTGTACGAGGAGATGGAGGAGCAGATACAGAAGGAGCGAGAGCAGTTCCTGCTGAAGGTCAGTACGTCCATCCCCCCGCCCCCCTGCCCCGCGCGGCCCCGAACCCCCTTTCCCCCAGCTTTGTTATTTTTCAAGATGATTGTCGCCTTCAGCCAGGGTCTAAGATGCACTTGATCGTTTTTATTGGCCACCATCTGTCTCTCCCTGTGAACACGGGATGCTCAGCTCCTACCCCAGGGGTGGACATTCGCTAAACCAAGAGATGCACAGAGAGACGGCCGATTGGCCATCTGTCCATCTGGATGGAGGGATTAAGGAACGGATGGGGGCATGGAAGGATGGTTGGATGGATAAATGCCTGGATGAATGGGTGGGTGGGTGGATGGGTAGAAAAATGGGTGGATGGATGGATGGATGGATAAGTGGATAGATGCATGGGTAGATGGATGGATGGATGATTGCAGGCATAAATGGATGGATGCATGCATACATGGATGGATGGGTGATGAATAAATGGATAGATGGATGGGTGGATGGATGGATAGATGGATGGATGGATAGATGGTAGATAGATGGATGGGTGAATGGATGGATAAATGGATGGATGGATAGATGGTAGATAGATGGATGGGTGAATGGATGGATAAATGGATGGATGGATAGATGGTAGATAGATGGATGGGTGAATGGATGGATAAATGGATGGATGGATAGATGGTAGATAGATGGATGGGTGAATGGATGGATAAATGGATGGATGGATAGATGGTAGATAGATGGATGGGTGAATGGATGGATAAATGGATGGATGGATAGATGGTAGATAGATGGATGGGTGAATGGATGGATAAATGGATGGATGGATAGATGGTAGATAGATGGATGGGTGAATGGATGGATAAATGGATGGATGGATAGATGGTAGATAGATGGATGGGTGAATGGATGGATAAATGGATGGATGGATAGATGGTAGATAGATGGATGGGTGAATGGATGGATAAATGGATGGATGGATAGATGGTAGATAGATGGATGGGTGAATGGATGGATAAATGGATGGATGGATAGATGGTAGATAGATGGATGGGTGAATGGATGGATAAATGGATGGATGGATAGATGGTAGATAGATGGATGGGTGAATGGATGGATAAATGGATGGATGGATAGATGGTAGATAGATGGATGGGTGAATGGATGGATAAATGGATGGATGGATAGATGGTAGATAGATGGATGGGTGAATGGATGGATAAATGGATGGATGGATAGATGGTAGATAGATGGATGGGTGAATGGATGGATAAATGGATGGATGGATAGATGGTAGATAGATGGATGGGTGAATGGATGGATAAATGGATGGATGGATAGATGGTAGATAGATGGATGGGTGAATGGATGGATAAATGGATGGATGGATAGATGGTAGATAGATGGATGGGTGAATGGATGGATAAATGGATGGATGGATAGATGGTAGATAGATGGATGGGTGAATGGATGGATAAATGGATGGATGGATAGATGGTAGATAGATGGATGGGTGAATGGATGGATAAATGGATGGATGGATAGATGGTAGATAGATGGATGGGTGAATGGATGGATAAATGGATGGATGGATAGATGGTAGATAGATGGATGGGTGAATGGATGGATAAATGGATGGATGGATAGATGGTAGATAGATGGATGGGTGAATGGATGGATAAATGGATGGATGGATAGATGGTAGATAGATGGATGGGTGAATGGATGGATAAATGGATGGATGGATAGATGGTAGATAGATGGATGGGTGAATGGATGGATAAATGGATGGATGGATAGATGGTAGATAGATGGATGGGTGAATGGATGGATAAATGGATGGATGGATAGATGGTAGATAGATGGATGGGTGAATGGATGGATAAATGGATGGATGGATAGATGGTAGATAGATGGATGGGTGAATGGATGGATAAATGGATGGATGGATAGATGGTAGATAGATGGATGGGTGAATGGATGGATAAATGGATGGATGGATAGATGGTAGATAGATGGATGGGTGAATGGATGGATAAATGGATGGATGGATAGATGGTAGATAGATGGATGGGTGAATGGATGGATAAATGGATGGATGGATAGATGGTAGATAGATGGATGGGTGAATGGATGGATAAATGGATGGATGGATAGATGGTAGATAGATGGATGGGTGAATGGATGGATAAATGGATGGATGGATAGATGGTAGATAGATGGATGGGTGAATGGATGGATAAATGGATGGATGGATAGATGGTAGATAGATGGATGGGTGAATGGATGGATAAATGGATGGATGGATAGATGGTAGATAGATGGATGGGTGAATGGATGGATAAATGGATGGATGGATAGATGGTAGATAGATGGATGGGTGAATGGATGGATAAATGGATGGATGGATAGATGGTAGATAGATGGATGGGTGAATGGATGGATAAATGGATGGATGGATAGATGGTAGATAGATGGATGGGTGAATGGATGGATAAATGGATGGATGGATAGATGGTAGATAGATGGATGGGTGAATGGATGGATAAATGGATGGATGGATAGATGGTAGATAGATGGATGGGTGAATGGATGGATAAATGGATGGATGGATAGATGGTAGATAGATGGATGGGTGAATGGATGGATAAATGGATGGATGGATAGATGGTAGATAGATGGATGGGTGAATGGATGGATAAATGGATGGATGGATAGATGGTAGATAGATGGATGGGTGAATGGATGGATAAATGGATGGATGGATAGATGGTAGATAGATGGATGGGTGAATGGATGGATAAATGGATGGATGGATAGATGGTAGATAGATGGATGGGTGAATGGATGGATAAATGGATGGATGGATAGATGGTAGATAGATGGATGGGTGAATGGATGGATAAATGGATGGATGGATAGATGGTAGATAGATGGATGGGTGAATGGATGGATAAATGGATGGATGGATAGATGGTAGATAGATGGATGGGTGAATGGATGGATAAATGGATGGATGGATAGATGGTAGATAGATGGATGGGTGAATGGATGGATAAATGGATGGATGGATAGATGGTAGATAGATGGATGGGTGAATGGATGGATAAATGGATGGATGGATAGATGGTAGATAGATGGATGGGTGAATGGATGGATAAATGGATGGATGGATAGATGGTAGATAGATGGATGGGTGAATGGATGGATAAATGGATGGATGGATAGATGGTAGATAGATGGATGGGTGAATGGATGGATAAATGGATGGATGGATAGATGGTAGATAGATGGATGGGTGAATGGATGGATAAATGGATGGATGGATAGATGGTAGATAGATGGATGGGTGAATGGATGGATAAATGGATGGATGGATAGATGGTAGATAGATGGATGGGTGAATGGATGGATAAATGGATGGATGGATAGATGGTAGATAGATGGATGGGTGAATGGATGGATAAATGGATGGATGGATAGATGGTAGATAGATGGATGGGTGAATGGATGGATAAATGGATGGATGGATAGATGGTAGATAGATGGATGGGTGAATGGATGGATAAATGGATGGATGGATAGATGGTAGATAGATGGATGGGTGAATGGATGGATAAATGGATGGATGGATAGATGGTAGATAGATGGATGGGTGAATGGATGGATAAATGGATGGATGGATAGATGGTAGATAGATGGATGGGTGAATGGATGGATAAATGGATGGATGGATAGATGGTAGATAGATGGATGGGTGAATGGATGGATAAATGGATGGATGGATAGATGGTAGATAGATGGATGGGTGAATGGATGGATAAATGGATGGATGGATAGATGGTAGATAGATGGATGGGTGAATGGATGGATAAATGGATGGATGGATAGATGGTAGATAGATGGATGGGTGAATGGATGGATAAATGGATGGATGGATAGATGGTAGATAGATGGATGGGTGAATGGATGGATAAATGGATGGATGGATAGATGGTAGATAGATGGATGGGTGAATGGATGGATAAATGGATGGATGGATAGATGGTAGATAGATGGATGGGTGAATGGATGGATAAATGGATGGATGGATAGATGGTAGATAGATGGATGGGTGAATGGATGGATAAATGGATGGATGGATAGATGGTAGATAGATGGATGGGTGAATGGATGGATAAATGGATGGATGGATAGATGGTAGATAGATGGATGGGTGAATGGATGGATAAATGGATGGATGGATAGATGGTAGATAGATGGATGGGTGAATGGATGGATGGGTGGGTGGATGGGTAGATGGATAAATGTCTGGATAGATGGATGGTGAATAGATGGTTGGATACATGGATACATTTATGTATGTATGTACGAATGCATGGATGGGTGGGTAGGTGGATGGATTAATGAATAAATGGATGGATGGATGAGTGGGTGGAAGAGTGAATGGATAAATCGATGGGTGATGGATGGATAAATGGATGGTTGGTGAGTGGATAGATGAATGACTGGATAAATGGACAGATAGAGAGATGAATGGAAAATGGATGGTTGATGGGTGGATGGGTGGGTGGCAGGTGTATGGATGGATGAATGGGCAGATGGATGATGGATGGGTGGATAGATGGATGGATAGATGGATGGATGGATAATGGGTGGATGGGTGGATGGATGGATGGATGGATAGATGGGTGGGTGGGTGGATGGGTGGATGGATGGATGGATGGGTGGATGGATGGATGGATGGGTGGTTGGATGGATGGATGGATGGATAGGTGGGTGGGTGGATGGGTGGGTGGATGGATG